ACACACCATGCTTGATTAAGCTGATTAGATTCATTAAATTAACAAGAGTTTCAGAACAGCTGCCTTGAAGTGAGTGAGTAGGGGTGAATGGGGCCAGTTTGCGAAATACCCCCTGGTGTTCAGGGTTTCCAATGTTGGCTGACTAATCCAGCGTTAACTGGCTGCTAACTCACTTCCCATAATGGCACTAATGCTAGCTTCAGTGACAACAAAATGTTTGATTTAACAGTTCTTCTTTTGGAAATGACCTCCTCTAGTTTGATAATGTGCTCTTCCACACATTTATTGAGATTGCACACATCTCCTCTTTTGTCTTCGGTTTGAGAAATGAGTAAGAATCTTTTCACCAGTCTCTTTGGAGAACTGGGCAAGTTTTCAGATTTACAAGTATGTTATTTAAAAATGTGCATATTCTCAAGTTTTTCAGAGGTTTTGTACTTTAGTGTTTGTTTTACCCTAATGGACAGCATAATGTCATAATGGGTTTATTTTAAGAGACCCCTCAGAATCTAGATTTTCAGACATTTAGGGGTTTCAAGAGGTTAATTAGGAGGTCCTGGACCCCCCCAGGACCGCCCTGTATTTCACACCTTGGTTGTAACATAGGGGTAAGGTTAAACAACACCAGGAGTAAGCTACAGGGATGACTCCAATCTTGTGCACACCCACCCACCACCTCATCAGCTGACAGAAGACATTTAAAGACTTTACATAAATCACTGACATGTTTAGGTACCAAAATCAAATTCTGAGGAAAGAATGTGGAATCTGGCTTAACATCTGGATTATAGCTTGGTTAACACTCATATTAATTGATATGGTCTAAATCAATAGGTTATGTTTGATATGTGTGAAAAAATGTAGGCTAGTTTCAAACATATATGCAAAAAATGCTAGCAATGTCATGACTGACCAGGACAGGATTGGTTTTAACACACAGTGTAATGTATGGGGACTGACCTAAAAACAATTCATATTTCTTATAGTTATGCAAACTTTAACTGCCAATGCAAATTTGACTTCGCCCCACATGTTTTGTGCTTAAAATGATTTGGTAGACGAATTGGTTCAAACTCAACATTTTTTCCTTAACTGTTTCCTTCTTTGAATTAAAAATAAATAAATAAAAACTGTTCTTTAATAAAATGTACCTCAATAAATTCCTTCATATTTTAAAAACTGCTGCAAGCATCTATGTAGTGGGGCTCAGGCACGTGCACAGATAGACCCCAGTGGGGCTTGAGCTGCTATATTGCCCTCAGATGGTACAAGTGCTCTCTTACTTATTCTGTATGATAACAGTATTTAATCAACAAGCGAATCGAGCTTGTGGGTCTGTTTGGGTTCTAGGATATTCTTGGCTCTTGGGCCTCTGGTGTCTTATTCTTATTAAACTCCAACCTATAACTATATGTCCTATATGTCACTACAGCTGGAAATCTCGCCAATAAAACTATGATAATCTAAGAAGGTGTCACATTTCATAATGTGATTATTTGAAAAAAAATAGCCAAACATGATGTTAATGGCTTGCTACATCAAAATTTTGTTATTGTGAAAAACAGTAAGTTATATGAGACCATGTGGAGCTCTTAAATAGAGTTTTAACACATAGTGTAATGAATAACACCATGGATTTGTATGCTGGTGACTGGAGTTTGAATACTGTGAAATATAGCAATGATAGTGGTTTTGGCTGCCTTTAGAAAAAGTCTTTAATATCATATTTGACTTCCTCTGAAGCATGACCACACCCTCCCAATCAGAGTAAGTGTAACATACAGTCAATTCAATCAAGTTTAATTCATGCTCATGCTGCCCATTTTCCCCCTGAGCCCCTCATCACCCTCAATTGTCTGTGCATGTGCATGTTGTAAGGAACTACACTAGTGCCATTTATAACAGATAAATATGCCTTATCTTATATAAAACCATGTGTTATAGACCAAAAAGTGTGACAACCCTCCCCAGTCTCTACAGGATGTGTTGTACTGTACCTCTGTCTGTCCCCCCACCCAGCTGATGGCTCTGCTCATACTGAACTCTTGGCCTCTTGGTCCGGATGAGTCATAGTGGCCCACAGTGATGAAATCTATTGTGCCATCTTTCTTAACCTGCCAGTTTATGAGCTCGTAGACGGCCACAGGATCTCCTTTGGAGTCAAATGAGACCTGAAAACCATTCTTTGTAGTGAAGCTCACTCTCTTGAGCTGGTTGAGTATCTACAATGGCACAAAAAATAAAGAACCGTCTCTTCATAAACCATCTGTGCTACTGGTGTTTAAATACATAGATATCTTTAGAGATTTAAAGCTTAAGACCATGATTTTGAATGTAGCAGTTTTATACCTGCCATGGTGTGAATTTAGCGCTCTTGTCGCACTGCGTGTCATTACAGATAACACCGTGGATGGCATGCGCTATGGCATACGTAGCTTTGTACACCATGTTAGTTGCGCGCAACTGCGACGTGTCTGTATATGGGTTCTGCAGCGCGCGGATATCCTCGCTGCCGTCACATTCCCGCGCGCCCTCTGAGGAGCCTTTTAGGCTACAGCTGAACGAGCTCTCCCAAAACTCCGTCAGCAGAGGCGATTTCAGTGCTTGTTCTGGAGAGAGATCCAGAAGAAACTCACGAAGACCTGGAATCACTGAGCGGGGGATCCCGAATCCTATCGCCCCAGCGCACATGTTAAAGCGCAGAAACTCTGGTTCTATGATCCACGTCTCGCTGCCGATCCACTGAAGGGGAGGCGGCGGCTGTCTCGCCAGTTCCTCCAGCAGAAACTTCATGTCTCCTGAGGCAAGAAACGCTACTATTACCCGGGCTGTTGATCTGCGGATGACGTTTGCCACTCTCTCCAGTTTACTGCGCGGTTGTGTTCTGTAGTAGGACTCGGAGTACTCCACACAGATGCCCTCCTCCTGCGCAGCCTTTAGAAACGACGCCATTCCATTATTTCCATAATCTGAGTCGCTGCGCACTGCCCCAATCCATGTCCAGCCAAAGTGCTTGACCATCCTTGCTAGTGCGGCCGCTTGGTGATGGTCACTAGGTACGGTCCTGAAGAAGGCAGGATACTGACGCTTATCGCTCAGACATGCGCAGGTTGCGTAGTTGCTCACCTGTTATTCAGTATAGAAAAAAAGCAAGAACTGTTATTTGAGAAGCCTGATTTAATTCTAGAGCTTATTTATGGGACATTATATGGTTCTCTTGTTATTACTAAACACTTGGCCTCATTATTCTCCCACAAACATTTAATGTCATATCATTGGGTGCACTCAACAATCACCTGTGGAATTCCAAAGAGTCCCAGCATTCTGGCCATGCTAATAGAGGGAGTTGAAGCAGATTCTCCCACGAGAGCAGGAACAGCGGCAGCTGCAGATTTTGAACAGGAATCAGTATCATTGAAAAATGGATCCATGCCGTTAGTAAACTGAAATGCAACTTTGATCGCCATCGGTACTGCAGAGCACGAGTCGTGTATCTGGTATCCTAAACTGATTCCCGGCAGGAGATCTGTTCTGTTGTTGATCTCGTGGATGGTGAACTCCATGGCGCGAGCGAAGCGCAGCTCCCTGAAATCCATACTGTTTAAACACAGTCACAGTAACCAGCACAGATTAAGAACATTGCATGTATTTCAGGTTTTACAAACACACGCAATAGCCCATACATGCAGAAACCATAATATTAATTGTTGTATTTCAAACAGAATGCAATACTCTCTTTGCTGTCTAACCACAGACTGACAGACCTCCCAGAGCACTGTGGCTGTAGTGGCGGTCTGGTGTAGGTGTTCTGCTCTGATCTCATGTAGTAATGAATGGAGAAAATCCCCCCAATCACAAAATCTCCATTAATAGAAAGACCAGGCAACTGAGGCTGAGCCCAAAGCCTGCAGCGGACTGGGTCAGCTTTACATGCTGGACTGAGCCCAGGTATCCACAGCATTGGTACAAACATCATTAGACTTGAAGTCAGCTGCATAGTGTGCTCAGTGTCTCTCAGTACTCTGAGGGCCAGGATGGCTGTCTTCATGTGCTTTAAATATCCACTTTGCTATGATTCCTGGTAGCTAACTGTGGGCGTGAACTGGGCACAGGAGGTGTGGTTATGTATTCAGGGTAAATGAACATGGTCATAATTTTTTGTTGTTTGTGTCTCAAGTTATAGTATGATGCTACTGCTGCAAACACATGATTGACTCATCCAAAGGAAATGTACAGAATACACAAATTCTTTATTTTATCTCATATGTCCATTCAGAAATGAAAACACACACTTCAGTCACAGTAATATAGAAAATAGAAAATGCACAGCACTTGCAAAAGTCAAATTTATTTGGTTTGCAGTCATACATGTTGCACATTTTCCAGCATCAACATGTTTTAAAGAAAAATATAGAAGGGCCTTATTTTTTAGTATTTAATTTTCCACCATTTGTCTTTTTTACAGCTTCCATTCTTTTGCTGGGACTTGCTTTCAGTTTTTCAAAGAAAACTGCTTGGTAATCTCTCCACACTTCCAAAGTTCAATCTTGGAATTTGGTTGCTTTTTTGTGCTTATCTTGAGACAAGTACATAACAAACACATTCAAAGATTTTGAGGTCTGGACTCTTGAGTCTGGTGTGGTCAGTCCATTGTTCGGAGAACACCAGCAGATTCTTTATTTGACCAAAACCAGAGTTGATCCAAATGCTTCCCTCACCAGGGGAAGCCAAAGTGAGTTTTTCAGTTTTTGATTTTAAATTTGACTTTAGATCTTTTGTTTGTTTGTTTTTGGGGCCATCAACTACACTATTGGGATTTGTCTTAGAAATTTCATTTGCATTTAAGCATAAGCCTTTAGATTAAAAGTCTTTTAGATTTAAGAAATTGCATATTCATGTAATTTTTTCATTAACTGACACTGAAATGACTTGTACTGCTGGAGAAACTGCACTGCTAAAGTATCATAAGACCTGCAGAATAAAATGTGTCATTGCTTAGTTTACTTGATTGTTTTGTTTCAACAAATGCCTGTAAGATGCAATCCCATATTCTTTGTCTAATTATTTTTCTTTCCCCATTAGATGCTGTTTAGTATTCTTCTCAGGTTTGAGTAGAATAATATAACACTTTGGAGCAAATAAGCACAAAAGGAGGCCAAAGCTAGAAGCTAAAATAGCAAATATTTCAACAGCAGTAGTAAATTTACCAGGTGAGCTGACGTAGGCAGGCACAAAGGCCAACCACACTGCACAAAATATCAACATGCTGAAGGTGATATATTTAGCCTCGTTAAAATTTCCAGGCAGTTTGCGAGCCAGGAAGGCCAAAATGAAGCACAGGCCGGCCAAAAGACCAATGTAGCCCAGCACACACCAGAAGGCCAGGGCAGAGCCCACACTGCAGTCCAGAATGATCTTGGAGTGCTGATACTGCGTGTTTCTGTAGGGGAATGGAGGGGAGGCTATGAGCCACGCAGCACAGATGATCATCTGGACCAGAGTGCAGCTGAAGATGATGATCCTCTGCTGCGTAGGCCCGAGCCACTTCATCACATTGTTCCCAGGCTGGGTGGCTGTGAAAGCTGCCAGAACCACTAACGTTTTGCCCAGGATGCAGGAGATGCAGAGAGAGAAAGTAATGCTGAAAGCAGTGTGGCGCAGCATGCATGACCAGGACGTGGGCTCTCCAATAAAGATCAACGCACACAGGAAACACAGCGTCAAAGAGATTAGAATGAAGAAACTCAGCTCTGAGTTATTGATTCGCACGATGGGAGTGTTTCTGTGATAGAGGAAAACTACAAATACAGCTAATGTGACGCAGGCCCCTACCACAGAAATCACTGTCAGCGTCACTCCCATTGCGTCATGAGAAAGGAACTCAACAACCTTGGGGATACATGCTGTTCCATCAATGTTGGACCAGTAATCTTCAGAACAAGGAGTGCAGTCTATTGAATCTTTGAGAAAAATCAGAAAAATCCAGGAATTAAAGTCTTAATTTAAAGTCTTTGACCAGAAAAGGTTCTATTTAGACACTTTTAAATGGTTTAATTATAATTAATCAAAATAATCAAGTGTAAATTGTCTTCTAAAATCAAAATTTGTAAATATTGATAATTAATGCTCAACAATTTGTGCTAAAGCAACAAACTCCTGAAATTATGACATTATCTCGAGGCTTTAGAAATGTATTGTTTTGGTACAAATAAGAGTTTAATACTTTTAGATGTATTTCAAATTCTATAATTCAATTTTATTTATTCACTTATTCGTCATTCAAGCCGCTTATCCTCCTGGAGCCCACTTAAGTGCTTACTGGCACTAGGCAGAAACACCCTGGACAGGTCGCCAGTCCATTGCTCAACATTTTTTAGTTCTCTATAATAATTTGCATAACAAATTTACAAATTTAATCACAAATGTAATACCTATTCATTAGTGTTTTGGCTGCTAAAACGATTGAACACACCAATATGTCATTATTGGGGGTTTATACAAGAATTAATTGACTAAAATTGCTCTTTATAACTTGAAACACATCTTGAAGTATTAGTGATTTATTAAACCCTAATTAATTCTTATGTAATAAACTGCAATAAAGCAAAAAAATGGTTCTATGTAGAATGTGTAAGAAATAAACGCTGCCAGTTACACCTAATATGATGTGTATTTAGATGATAACTCGTGCTCAATAAGTTGCATGCATTATTGCAACTAATAATGCAATCATTATTATAATGATTTTAACATAGACATCCAATTATGAACTCATGTCTGGTCATAATGAATTCTACTTAATGCCTAGTGAATAAACCATTTAGAACAGAATTTAAACTTCCAATATATATCACCATTTAGAATCTGACTGTTGCCACCAACCTGTCTGATTACTAATCTTGCCGCTGTCACATGGTACACAATCAAAGCAGCACAGAGGCTCCCCACGACGGACAGCCTTCCTGTATCCCGGAACACAGCTGATACTGCAAACAGATACTGGCACCTGTTTCCCACAAACACAACAGTCAAGGGTCAGTAAAGACCTATAAAGATGAGGCACATTTAAAGATACTGTTCAAAAGTCAGAGACTTCTATTTCGATTAAAATATTTTCCAATCAAAACGGCCAAGAAATACAAGCTAAACATTGTTCAGGGGATACTACTCTGAGGAGCCCTCACTGCGAAAAGAAGACAGACACATCAAACAAAGAAGCTGCTGGTGTTTTCTCAGAACAATGGACTGACCACCCCAGAGTCCAGACCTCAGCATCATTGAATGTGTTTGGGATCTTAAAAAAAGAAAATGTAACCAACTTCCTAGGCTGAACTTTGGAGGTGTGGAAAAATATCCCTGCAGACTTGCTGACAGCAAGTCTTCTATTCATATGGGTGAATAGAATGGAAGCTGTAATAAAGGCAAAGGGTGGAAACACTAAATACTGCAAAATGTTACATTTTGTAGTTGAGGCTTCTGTTAATTTTCTGTTAAATATGTTTTCTTTTTGGTTTTTCTGATCCTGAAAAATGAATAACTTGTACTTAGTAGCCATTTTGACTGGAAATGAGACTCTCTGACTGTAAATCCTATTTGTAACGCTTGTGAATAAATATAGCATCAACAAATTGTACGTCAACACTTTTTTAAAGTCTTGTGTCATATATTTATGATATGCGCTGTTCATGCGTAATAGAGTGCAACCCAGAGTTTGGTAAAACAGTGAGTATGCAGAACATCATTCTCACTCACTTACCTGATCACTCATCACTCCAGTCTGATGAGCGATCAGGTTCACCCAACTTACCTCCATTTAACCCTACAGAACTTCAACAGGAGGCATCTCATGTACTGAACTACATTCTGAGAGCAGCTTGCCTCTGTCTGGTCTCCAGGCCATGTGAGAGCCATCTCATAAATGACCAGCTCCTTCCCAAGCTCTCGAGCTCCATCAAACATGCCCACTTTTACCAGCTCAATATTGCCATCTGTGCCCTTCTGCCAGTTGATCAGGTCATAGGATGGGATAGAGTCACCTTTTGTGTCAAAGTTCACCATCTCTCCTGAGATAGTAAAGGAGACCTCTTGAAGGTAATGCTGGAGCTATAAAACCAGAAACAAAAAGTAGATTTCTGTGCTACGGAGGCCTATAGATATAATTTGTCACTATTTACTATGGAACTGCAAGAGATACCTGCCATGGGAAGACTTTGGTGACGTCTGCACAAGTGGAGTTACTGAATGGGCCATTTCCAGGATTGCAGGAAATGAGGTTGTGGAGGGAGTGAGCAATAGCATATACACCTTTGTAGACGTTATAAGCAATGCGAGGGCTGGAGGTGTTCATGTAGGCAGAGTGCTGCTTGCTGATGATCTCCTGCCCTGTGCATAGGGGCAGCTGAGCACTATTGCTTGAGGAGAAGGGAGAGCAGCCATAAAGAGCCCCCCACAGTTCCTGCACCAGGGGATTGGTGGGGTACCTTTGTGGGTTCACCGTTGTCAGATATTCTCTCAACTGCATGATGAAGCCCTGCCGTATCCCAAACCCAATAGTGCCACCAAGGAAGGGGTAGTACTTGCTTCCGGTGAACACTGCTGCTGTCACCCAGGCCTCACTGGCAATCCATTGGATCCCAGTGACATTCAGCTCCATGTAGTCTCTCAGAAAGGGTGTGAGCTCCCCCTCAGCTGAGAACACCACTGCTACTCGAGCGCTGGAGCTGTTCATCACCCGGATGATCTCTACTGCCCTCTGGCTGTCATATAGCAGTGGGATCATTTCCTGATAGGCCACACACACACCTGTACCCTCCAACTCCTTTAGTAGGCCCTGGAGGGCAGAGCGTCCATACTCGTGGTCCCCTCGCACCACCCCTACCCAAGTCCAGTTGAAGTGTAGCAGCAATTTGGCAATGGCTTTCACTTGGTAGGCATCACTGGGGATGACTCTGAAGAAAGTGGGGAACTCTCGTCTGTCGCTGAGGCAGGCGCAGGATGAGAAGTAGCTGATCTGAAATGGAGATGCATATCAATGCACATCTTTACATTTTGGGAACCCCAGACACATTTCTGCAGATTATAATTCACAATTACTGTTTGCTTACTGAGTTCAGCTTATTTTGAAAATAAAACATTTTTAGCAAAAGAGGTGGCACATTTTATATTTTATGTTTTTTTCCAATTTTATTTAGCAAATAATTAGATGCAATAAAAGTTCCAGAAAAATGAGAAAAGAAAACAATCTCCAAAATGATATCTTTACACATAACTTTAAACATTCTCATCTGCTAATATCTGTGAAAAGACACATAATTTTACGCCAAATTTATTGGCCTTGCTGGTTCCAGTTGGTGAGAAAAAGACACAAAAACAACACCCTTACTATTTTCTGTTTATTGCTCAGCATAATCTAGTTTTCATTTTATGTGTCGGGGTTTCATTCAATACTCTCAGTTTTTCCATAATTATTCATAAATGGAAGAAAAATTCCTTGTCTGTTTCTTGGCAAATAAATAGGAAGATTCTGAACTGATATAGTGAATTGAACAGACTGTATTAACCCCTTAAACTACAGGTTTATTATTGATTATCATTGATTGATAGATTATAAATCTAGAAACCTGTTTGAGAGTGATAGATTGACTTGTGGGCCTACATATGGGTGTTTATGGAGTTTAAGGGATAATTTCACACTCAAGAATATTTTCCCTTGAAAAGACCAGAGCCCACCAGCAGGCCCAAAGTTTTATTACACACTTCCGTAACCTAAAAATAACTCAACTAGTTTACATTGAAGTCTCTGTAATTACTAAACAATAAGACTTAGTATATAATAAGCCCAATAATAATAATAATAATAATACAAATTATAGGGGGTTAAGCATATAAGTGTTTGTGGAGTTTCAAGTGTCTGGAATAGGAAAAATGCTTTTCCTTCATTCTTGTTCTTCACTATTTCCACTTGCAATTACAGATACATGAATCCGAGTAGCAAACTCTGTCTTTCTGACACATGCAAATAAAATCAAACTGACCCATTACTTTATGAAAACATTTAAGAGAGCACTAATCTAGCGCTTATTGAAATTCAATGTATTGTACTTGTGTCTTAATTCTGAATATTCCTTTCTAGTATCTGCCCTGATATTGTTTCCAGCAATGTCTGAGCTCAAGGGTAGTAGGACTCTAACCTATTTGTACTAACTAGGGTCCATTCTTAGAGTGGACAACAAAGCACTTTTGTAAGTTACTCTGGATAACAAGGTCTGCTAAATGATTTAAATGTAGATGCAAATAAAGATTCAGTCAATTAAGGCTCACTAAAGTGTATGAATTATCTGATGGAGATCTTGGTGGTTGAATATGCCAAGTATTTCTCCTTAAGAAGTTGTTGTTATGCCTTTTACATGTTTCAAATAATTTAATGCAGTTAAGTATCTTATTTTAAAGTCTCTCGCAGAATAGAATTTCTTAAAATAGGTGAACATCTATAAATTGGTAAAATAATCTTAGAATATTCATCAAACATCAATTTTATGAAGAAAAATATTATATTAAATATTATGTAAATATTAACTATATTTAACATTTTTTTTACTTGCCAAGATATGATTGTGCAGTGTATATCTTACCATTGGAATTCTGAAATGTTGCAAAATTCTAGAAACCACTATAGACTGAGCTGATCCAGATTCACCGATGATGGCCAGCATTGGGCTTGCACCAGAACACATGGGCCTATCTGCTTCATTTGGCCCATTCATAACAGCCAGAGCTGCTCTCTGTCCTGTTAGAGGGTACGCACAGGAGTCAAATATTTTATATCCCAGAGTATGATTGGGTAAAAGCTCAGTGCTGTTATTAATCTCCTCCACAGCAAGCTTCATAGTCAGAGCCCAGCGGAAAGCTCTGGGGTCAAAACTGCAGATTGAAAAAGTGAACAGCAGCATCAGTACACACCCAGAATATCTAATCTCAGTGTACACTGTAAGAAAGTGAAATCTAAGTGAAACAATCTCAAATGAAGGCAATAAATCTTATGTTTTCTCTGCTAAGATTACTTGTCTTGAAAAGCAGTGTAAGATTTTTGTTTATTCTTGGAAGAGTTACCTTTATCAGTCACACTTAGACATTCTAGCCACTCATCAAGTTATTATGATTATTTTGCCATCAGTTACAATATTAAATCTGGACTTTTTCAGCTTGTCTTCCCTTACATTATATTTTAAGAAGGCATTTGATGTTATTTGCATTGCAAGTGAGACGGAAATGCTAATATTAAGCAAGTCTGCCAATGGGGTAAGCAAGACTTTTTAAATAAGCATTGATATGTACTCAGTATTGTCACATCACCCTTTATATCTTAAAAGGAATCACACAATGTCTAAACATAGCATTTTAAACATGAAATGATTGTTTCTTTGCCCAGTTCTAAGATACAGGGACTCTGTATATACTGGACTCTCATGCAAGTCTCTGTGAGACTATAATGCTAGTAACCCGAGACTGAGTACTGCTAATATACTATTAGCAACCTGAATATTTTTTGATGTATTTAGATGTGATCTGAAGGTAAAAGATAAAAGGTAAAGAAAACTTTTGACATTTTGTTGTCTTTGGTAAGCAGACTTAACTTATAATGGCTTAATTTAAGTATGAAGGTTAATATTTTAAGTCAGACTGCCAGCAAAATAGTCTTATCAAGAGACCTGGATGAGAAAAATAGACTGATATTGAGTTCCTGTGTAATAATACTGTGCATTCCGATTGATACAGATACAGATTCTTTGGTGCCTCCAGTCATATACAAAAGTTTGACTGCCACCAGTCAAATTACACGTTGTGTTGATTTTCTATGTAAAAGTAAGTTCACACATCATCTACAGGAAATTTTTGTGACATTTCAAATTTCAGTGCGTAGTATCCAATGAATTACTCAGTTTGCAAATGCAGCACAGACCACATTGTACATTTTATTTTTTTTCCCAAATTTTCAAGAAATCTTATTTTCACTTTGAAAATCAGCAAAACGTGGCATTTGACCAGGGCACCCAGACTTTTGCCTATGATTTACATAATTTTTGTACTAGTTTTAAGAAATTTAGATTAAAAAATAAGATATTATTGCTTATTTCAACTTGTTCTTATTTCAATCTTACAAAGTAAAAATGTTGCTTACCTTGTTGCTTAACATAAATATTTACATATATATTTGAATTATTTTGTGAATGCTGTGTGATTTGCAGCATACATTCTCCATTAGACCAGTTTATCCATCATGTCCACATTTACATGCACTAGACTAGTTTCAGACACAAAACATTCAGTATACCGACTATATTGAATTTGCCATTTAGTCATAACTAAGCATAATATTGAGACAATGGAGCCCCACTTTACGTGCTCTGTTTCTGTGGTTTCAGCAGTGCATTCTCACCCATTGCACTGCACTTGTCCTGGTTTGTAAGTGCAGTTCAGGTCCGGCATTTCCTGATTGTAGTGCAGAGGGAAAATGCCTCCAATCACGAAGTCTCCGCCAGCCATGAAGCCTGGCTCAAAGTCATTCTGCAGAGTGCACTGAGGATCTGAGGCTTTACTGACGTGGAGAACCAGGAGCCACAGGAGCGGCAGAGTCATCCTCAGTGACTGACTCCTTATGCTGAGGAAAAGAAAGAGCAGGCAGCCATGTTTTATATGCCACCTGTAGGCTGCCCTTCATCTCGGTATGTGTCGTGGTCACATGACATGACACACTTTTAAAATCCCACTGGACATTTATGAATGATTGCATGGAGAGTAAATATGGTTATATATTTGAGAAAGAAAGGCCTATATGAGAAGCTCGTTGTTGTCTGTATTGATCTTTATCTGCCAAATCCGCATTATATTCACTATTTTCATTCAGTCTGAAGGATAGAATAATAGAACAATATTTATTGCTAATAATATTATATTATAATCACACATTAATAAAAACATTTCTGCTTGACTCAATCAATGTGAAACGGTTTATTGCAGAGAAACGTAATCATTCAGAGTTCTTTACAGATAAATGATGTAGGCGTCACAATATCTACAACACAAATATAACAATTTTATTTACTATTCAAAACCAGCAGTGAATCTATGCATGTCTTCTTGGTTTTAATAGGTCATTTTCATGAAAAGCAAAGTAGTAGTTCTTCTGAAAAAATGTTGTCCTTGGATACTATTTTGCCTACAACATCCTCCATTAAAAAAAAAAAAGTTTCATGCTAAAATCTTATCTCAAAACTATCGTAAAACAATGTCTCAGACATCAGACAGTGTATTCATAACCATATGATGTAATAACTTTCTGTGAGGGAGCTTTTAGAGGCATGAAACTCTTTAGACTTTTGGTTTCTTTCACCACAGTTCTGACTTACTTTCTCTAGGATAAAGGGTTTTACATTAAACCATTCTTAATCACACTTTAACAATTAAATTATGCAGAAATTTAGAAAGAAATGGTGGAATTTCCTGTAATAGAGAATTGAGTGTTCCCTTTACACCCTTTACATGCTCCAAAATGGTTAATAGTATTGATGTGGAGTTCTACCTTTAACAGTATAGAATGTTTACACTATATGGAGATTCTTAAAACTTTAAAATCACTTTTCAAATTTACACATCTCATATAAAAATGACTTTTTTGGTAATCATCTTTTAAAGGCTCTTTATGGAACCAAAACTGGTTCATCTATGGCATCACTTCAAAGAAGCCTTCAGCTACCTTTATTGTTAAAGAGTACAGTCAGTTTTGCCTTGATATTGTGATGATTGTATAGACAGAAAGTATATGCTGGCATTTGTGGCACTGAGTTTTAGAGACAATTTTAATGAATTAAAGATCAGAACAAATATTATGACATCTGTAGAAACATTCTTGATTCAGTGAATTCTAAGTCTATTTGTATATGACAAATGTATCATATTGTAACATAAATGATAATTAAGCAATTAGCAAATTAGATGCATTTTTTAAGAATTCAGTCTTAAGTTGGTGTCGAAACAAAATCTAAGTTCTGAAAAAAAGGTCACTTCAGAGGTGAAGCAAAAAAAACATCTTTGAAAAGAAGTCAAACAAACAATATTTTTTTAAGTCATTTTGGGCCATTTGTATTGGTCTGTTCATCGTGAAATGTTAACACAGTGCAAAGAGTAACTGGAGTTTTCAACTCATGCAAAAAAAGTGAAAAACAACAAAAGGGAGATGAAAGGATTTTGTGTGACAGCAACTATGTACAATATAGAAAAATTATTTTGTTGCCCTGCCCATTAGATGCTGTTTGGAGTTCTTCTCTGGTTTGAGTAGAATAATATAACACTTTGGAGCAAATAAGCACAAAAGGAGGCCAAAGCTAGAAGCTAAAATAGCAAATATTTCAACAGCAGTAGTAAATTTACCAGGTGAGCTGACGTAGGCAGGCACAAAGGCCAACCACACTGCACAAAATATCAACATGCTGAAGGTGATATATTTAGCCTCGTTAAAATTTCCAGGCAGTTTGCGAGCCAGGAAGGCCAAAATGAAGCACAGGCCGGCCAAAAGACCAATGTAGCCCAGCACACACCAGAAGGCCAGGGCAGAGCCCACACTGCAGTCCAGAATGATCTTGGAGTGCTGATACTGCGTGTTTCTGTAGGGGAATGGAGGGGAGGCTATGAGCCACGCAGCACAGATGATCATCTGGACCAGAGTGCAGCTGAAGATGATGATCCTCTGCTGCGTAGGCCCGAGCCACTTCATCACATTGTTCCCAGGCCGGGTGGCTGTGAAAGCTGCCAGAACCACTAACGTTTTGCCCAGGATGCAGGAGATGCAGAGAGAGAAAGTAATGCTGAAAGCAGTGTGGCGCAGCATGCATGACCAGGACGTGGGCTCTCCAATAAAGATCAACGCACACAGGAAACACAGCGTCAAAGAGATTAGAATGAAGAAACTGAGCTCTGAGTTATTGATTCGCACTATGGGAGTTTCTCGATGGTGCAGAAATATTGCCAGTACAGCAATTGTTAGACAGGACCCTACAATGGCCATCACCATCAGGGCAACTCCCATTGTATCCCTATGAGAGAGGAACTCGATAACCTTGGGGATGCATGCTGTTCCATTGGTATTGGACCAGTACTCTTCAGGGCAAGCCAAGCAGTCTATTGAATCTTTGAAGAAAAAAAAATATATAATCTCAACTGCAAACACTATGTAAACATTCACAATGAATGAACCAACAGAAATGATCCAATATTATTTGGAAACTAAATTATTATTATTTGGTACATTAAAGTTGTCAATGTTTTGTTGCAAAAGATTTATGCAAAAGTTTAGGTCAGTTTACATTTTGTTGATTTCCAAGGGGAAAATAAGTTAACACAAATCTGTACATTTTTATGTACATTGTAAATTACTGTTTAATTATGTGTAAATTATTTACTGTGTTTAAAATATTGCAAAAATCAAAACAAAAAATGTGGCCTGTGCAAAAGTTATGGTACTTTGTATGGTATGGTATGGTTTTTTCAATATGTTAAATTCAGCAAATAAATAGAAAATATGCTTTAGAATTTGTAGAAAATGATCATGTTTACGTTTGTTTACAGAAGATGATTTGTTTACTTATTTTTACTCAGCATATTAAGAAACCATGTCATTTGACCAGGAGGCAGCCAAACTACCAAGCTATTTTTAAATCTTTAATACAAATTGAGAAATTAACAGGAATAATATAAATATAATTACCAAATGTATGCAGTATATTCAGACATATGAAATTTATATGCACTTTTATCAATATGGTGTGCTAAAATGCTCGGCCATTTTAATTTTACTTTCTTTAAAGAGCAATTTTAATGATCTTCAACATGAAGCATACAATTAAAACAATATTATACTATAATCATATGTTCCTGTACCTGTCTGATTACTAATCTTGCCATTGTCACATGGTACACAGTCAAAGCAGCACAGAGGCTCCCCACGACGGACAGCCTTCCTGAATCCTGGAGCACAGCTGTCAGTGCAGACAGATACTGGGGCCTGTTATTAAAATTGAATGGACACAATAGCAAATAATGAAGACGGATTTGGAAAAGAGCCAATAGCAGATCTTTATGATTAGGCCTGTAAATGTGGTGGATTTCAATGAGGGTAATCCTGTATATATGTGCATTTCAGGAAAAAACGGACCATAGATCAATGAATACATATTTTAGTATTGATTATCATGTGACTGGACCAGCAGGTTCAACAGCAAGACATTCTCTTTGTTTTTTTGTTTTTTTTTTTACCCACCTTGTAGCCAAATGTGTTTGGGGTGATCAGATGTTACGACTAAATCAAATTTACGTTTGTATATCAACAGATGGCACTGTAATACAAAACACTGAGCACCTTGCCTTGCTCTGGTTGCCAGGCCACACAACTGCCTGATCCTGGATAAGCAGCTCTCTCCCAGCATCCCTTGCACCATCATAAAGACCCACTTTGACAAAGTCGATGTCTCCGTTTGCCTGTCTCTGCCAGTTTATTAGATCATAAGATGGAATTGAATCCCCTCTGGCATCAAAGTTCACATGTTCTCCAGAGATTGAGAAAGACACTTCCTGAAGGTAATGTTGAAGCTTTTATAATAAAGTAGGGGGTTACAAAGAAAAGATGATTTGACTTCATTTCTTTCATTGTAATATGTTAATGTTAGCAGTGAATATATACAAAATGTATGTATGATCAAATTTTACATCAGTCATTACAACTACAATTGCAAAATGCCATATAAGTAACACAATGGTCCCATAGTGCCAAAGTGTTAAGACTTAGTAGAACATGATCATGATAATACTTAAGCTGAAGTACTTTACCTGCCATGGATGGATATCATTAATGTCTGCACATGAAGATTCATTAAAAGGCCCATATCCAGGCACACACTGAAAGAGATTATGTAGGGAGTGAGCAATGGCATACACTGCTTTGTACACATTATAAGTCACACGAGGACTGGAAGTGTTCATATAAGCACAGTGCTGTCTGCTGAGGGTCTCCTGCCCAGTGCAGAGAGGCAGCTGAGTGCTAGTGCTGGAAGACAAAGGAGAGCAGCCATAAAGAGCCTCCCACAGCTCCTTCACCAGTGGGTTTGAAGGATACCTCTGTGGGCTAACCGTCGTCAGATATTCCTTCAGCCCTGGCACATATCCTTGACGGACAGCGAATCCAATTGTACCGGCTAGGAATGGGTATGTTTCTGCCAATATTGAGGCTGTAACCCAGGCCTCACTGGCTACCCACTGGATCCCTGTGATGTTTTGATTCATGAATTCTCTTAAGAAAGGGAAAAATTCCCCTTCACCGGAAAACACAACCACCACTCTCGCCGTGGACCTTCTCATCACGTTCAGAATCTCGAGGACCCTCTCTCGCCGGAAATCTTTGGGGATCATTTCGTGATAAGCCAGACAAATGTCAGTGTTTGCTATCTCTCGCTTAAGCCCTTGTAAAGCAAACCTGCCATAATCGTGGTCTTCAGTGACCACACCAACCCACCTCCAGCCAAATTTCTTCAAAAGTTGAGCAATGGCTTTTACTTGGTAGTCATCGCTTGGGACTACTCGGAAAAATG